TTTTTAGAAAATCTGACACTTTCAAGATCGTACAGTACCATCTCTCACACTCCACAAGCTTCCTTAAGCACAATGAACAGCTTCTCAGCATCCTAAAATGTGAACTAAGTTTCCAAAAGTGTCTATCCTGCCATTAGCTGATGTTTCTGCCTGAGGTGTAACTGGTTATAGGGGTCTTAGCATCTTTCTACGTGTCTTGTAGTACTCATGGTAAAAGTTATGATGCTTTGGTAATTTGAGAACTCACTTTGCAGCTGAGCTATTAAATCATTACTATATGAGGTGAGATGGCAAGGATTTGGGTGAAAATGATTGGATTTATAAATTACAGGTGCAAGGCTTAGTCTGTTAATATAAATTATTACTCAACTTGGAAGAACCTAAGGCTCAGGTCCACCAAATATCATTCAAGTGATGTACAAATGATTTACCAGGAGGAGTAATACACTCTTTTATAAGGCAGACTCTAACATCTATAATGCTGCAACTGAAGGGAGTGGGAAGCACGTCTGTCCTTGCAAATCTGCCTAGAAGAAACACTATGAATGCATTTCCCTCTTCATTTGTTCGTCTATATCATATTGTCAAGTAATGCTACAGAATATTCCCCTGCACCAACTATTGCCCTAATGTCAAGTGAACACGCTATAAATCCATTTTTATTTTATCTGTGGTGTGACCAGCTTTGTAGCCTCAAAGCAAAGTGGAGAAATTATTTAATATTCAATAATCACTTGCTTACTGGTTACTAAAAGGACCCAAATTATTACTATAACACAAATGTCTCTTTGAGGATATAAATTAAATCAGGTTAACTCCAACTTCCTGGCTCATAATTCCACTTGCTTCAGAATCACTAGCTTTATGGTAAAATCCTTCCTCTCCTAAACAAGTATTCCTGGATGTCCCTGGAAGGATTTCACAGGGAGCTCATTCACCAGGATGGCAGCTGCAGGCCTCACACATCCACCATGGTCAAAATTTCCCTCACTTACGCAGTGGCTTCCCCTCGTTGATGTCATCTGCCCAGAAGCAGAGTGAAGGCCCCAATGCAGTGCAGTGCTGCTGCTCCTGCTGCTGCTGCTGCTGCTGCTGCTAAGATTTCCAGTTTCCCCACCACATTCATTCTCCCATGCTCTCTAAATAGGCCATGATGCAATAACAGAGAGACATTCTGTTTTGGGCAGCCATCCAGAGAATGTCTCTCTTCTGCACTGTGAGATATTCTTTGTCATCTGAGCTCCAAAGCAAAAATACTATCTTCAGTCCCAAGAGAGTATCTGTCTCATAAAATGGCTCTTTCCATATTGGACTCAGTACCTCTCTCCATCCAGGATCAAAATCACGTCATGGAACATACAAGCAAGAAGTAAGGAAGAATCTTGCCCTCTTCTTTTATCTTTGTTTCTAATTTCTCCAGCTGTCTCTGCCTCCACATTCCATGTATCTGGGGCTGGGGATTTAGCTCAGCGGCAAAGCGCCTGCCTGGCAAGTGCAAGGTCGTGAGTTCGGTTCCCAGTACCGGAGAAAAACCAAAAAAACAAACAAACAAACACATTCCATGTATCTAAATCCTCTTTCTTCCTTCAGACACCGAGCTAAAGAACTCAAGAACTCATGGGCCTCAATTCATAGAAATACTGGACAGCTGGCCACACCCCCTGTACCCACGGTGAAAAACAGTCCCGTTAGCTCACACATTCTTTATTGGCCTCAACCTTCTTCTTGGCTTTGGATGCCTAGACAGGGCCTTAGATTCCCCAGCAAAGTTATTTCTCAAACCTCAGGGTGAATGAGATAATACACTAGGGTGCAGGGAACAAATCCTAGAATGAATAAAATAGATAGATAGATAGATTGAGTGAGTCAATTTTACTACTGTTTATTACATAAATTGCCACCAGTGCCCTCCCCCACATATATGAGGGTCCTGTGTCCCATGTGTTTTTGAGGTGTCATTAGGAAGAAGAAAAAGTTGACAGTGAAGCTCTCAGGTAATTACTCTACCCAGTGTATTATAGAGAATTAGAGATTATCTGGTCCTGCTAACCAGTTGTAACTAATAACCTTCTAAAATGGGTAACTTAAAAAACATCTGCTGGAAACACCAGCAGATCAAGATAATGCCAGTAATACAAGTACACCAAACCAGAAGAATTGACAGCACTGATGATTCTCCAACCCTAGTAGCAGCTCAGCATCCGCCATGTTGAGTAAAATAATGACATTCCAATCAGATTACTAAAAAATAGAAAATAATCAGAGACAATTTAAAATATGTAATGAACAATTATTTTAGCTGGATGTGGTGGCACACACCTGTAATCCCAGCACTCTGAGAGGCTGAGGCGGGAGGATCCCAAATTCAAGCCCAGCATGGACAATTTATGACTTAGCAAGAACCTATCTCAAAATGAAAAATAAAGAAGGGCTGGGGCTGTAGCCCAGTGTGAAGGCTGTGGATTCAATCTGCAGTACCACATGCACAAACACACGAAAGCTTAGCTTAGTTTGGACTCCCCTGAAACAAAGATTTATGTGCAACTATCTTATTTGGGAGATGATTCTAAGAAGTAGTTTGGGAGTAGGAAAGTTACATACAAAGGCAAGAAAGCCAGTAAAGGATATGGTGATGAGTGAGTTGCTACTTTGGGTATCCAGGACTCTATCTTGTTGAGGACCTTTGAAAGTCTGTGTGGAACCAAATCAACCCCCAAGGTTGAAGGAAAGTGAGATACTTATCCACTGACGCCCATCCCATATCTTATTGGTTGGGAGTCCTTCTGGGTGGTTACTGGTGTTAGTCCTGGGTGTTACTGGGAGGGCACTTCAGACCTCTCCAGTGCATACTGATCACAGTTTAATAAAGAATGATTTCACCCAGGGAGGATGAAAGTAGTTGCTTGTACAATAACCCCTGTTGATGACTGCTGGGATGGGTCAAAGGGATATAGGTTGGGCTCTGCCGGTGCCTGCTAGAGCCACGACCCTGCCTGTGACTGGGGATTGTTTCTTCAACTATTAAAAAATGATAATAGGAAAATATCACAATTGGAAAGCTTTAACAAATATGATTTATTTTTCCCATTTTCAGACTATATTTTAGTGTATGTGCTTTATTATGCACATGATACATTAGAGCAGTAGAACACAAATATAATTTAGAAACAAATGTATCTGCATCAGCAGTCATATTCAAAACATTTTCATTGAGGTAGGTGTCTGGATCAAAAAGGTTTTAGTGTGCACTCTTCTAAGGGGGTTAGAATGGCAGAATGATCTCCGAGTTCACTAACAAATCCCGTTGAAACCTCTCACATCAGAGTAGTTATGCAATAAAAGCCATAAACTTCTTTTCCACAAAGGTGTCATACAAAGACCATCTCCTCTGCTTTCATAGAACTTCTAGCTATCTAGTTGCTTTTTAACATCTCTTTGGCTGTCATGGTATTTAAGAGCAGGTTGTCTTATACATGAAAACAACAAAATGTGGGATTCGTGGTGGACAGAGAAGGGAGGAAATAATAAAAGGAGATGGTATTGAAATGATGGGGCCCGAGGGTCCAATTTGTGGGCCTCACTTGGCCAGTGGACTCTCAGAGAAGGTGAGCTCCCTCTCGTGAGTCTGGCCATGATGCTGTCCATGCTGAAAAGGATCACTTGCCTGGGGGGTGGTGTGGGAGTAGGTGGAGAGCCACAAGAACTTACTGTTTGAACAGACTGACTTTTCTCATTCACTATGTGGGAACTCTTTGTCTTCTTTAGCCTAACTGGGCCAACAGGTTTTGCTAAATTAAGATTTTTCTGGGACCTGCTCTCGTTACTGGTAATTAATGTGACAGTGGTCTGGATTAATCATTTATAGTGTCTCCAGAACAGTGAACTTCAAGAAGTGTTAGAAAAGTACGGGCCAAGTGACTTGGGCTTGGGTATTCTGTTTCTGCCATAGGAACTAAAGGATAAATTTGGAAGGCTATGTCTTTCTCACAGCTAGATTACTGCCAAAATATGTGAGCTCTGCACACCACTTAACCACAGACAATCAATAATTGTGGACTGAGTGTCTGTGCCAAGGCCTGTGGTGGAGAAAGGAAGGAAATAATAAAGGTAGGAAGGAAGAAGGAAGGGAGGAAGGAAGGGAGGGAGGGAGGAGAGGAGAGAAGAGAGAAGGGGAGTGAAGGGAAGGGAAAAGAAGGACTGAGGAAGGAGGGAAGGAAAGGAAAGGGAGTAAAGAGAGAAGAGAAGGAGAAAAGAGGGGAAGAAGGAAGAAGAAAGAAAACAAAGAAGGAGTAGAAATTATCCTTGACTTCCATAAACGGCAGCTAACTGCAATCAAGGCTGCATACGGCGATCGCCAAATGAAGGGGGAAACATGGAAGCATTTGGAGAACTTAGATAATAAGTTGTGGCGGTCGGGGCAGCATGTGGGAAGAAGTGAACTCTAAGGTCAAGAGGATTCTCAGAAGTGGAGGGATTGTGCAAACAGATCACTGGGCCCCCACTTCCAGAGTTTCTGAGTCAGCCAGCCTGGGTTGTAGCCCAAGCATTTGCATTTCTAACCAGTTCCTAGGGGAAGCTGAACTTGTTGATCCAGGGAGCACATATTAAGAACCACAGCTCGGAAGGATTTTAGTTACGTCAGAGGGAGAAGACTGTCAAGGGTTGAGATGAAGAAATCGTGAAGAGGAACAAAGTAGGAGAAAGAGGAAGATGTGTTTTGGAGGATTCTGAAGTGAAAAGCTTGTATAATACAAGAGTGAGAGATAAGAATGCAAAGGATTTTGGAATTTATCCTGTCAGCAAATGAGAGTCGTTGAACATGTTTGAGTAGTGACATGACATATGGAAACTTTATTTTAGGACTATTTCATCTGCCTGCAGTATACTCCATCATGCTGCACAGGGCAGAGGAAGAGATAGATGCAGAAAAGGCATGTAGGAGGTTATAAATTTATTTAAGTTGTTTTAAAATCTATTTATATGCTGTTCTTTCCAAACAGAGGTGAAGAGAGAAGTGCACCCTGAGGGGTTATATTTTGGTGAAAAGTGGGGCCCAGCAATCCTCTCAGGAAAGAAGACAGAGGCAAACAAATGGAGTCTGCACTTTGGACTGCTGTTATTCAAGTTTTCCTAAGAAGTGACAGCATGGAAATCCTCAAGCCTGCTCAGAGTCTGCACCAATTTCATGGGAGAATCTGCAGATTTTCAGGCAGTAAGTTGATCCGTGATGGCCTTCAACCCAGGAGTGAGGAATTCTCTGTTTATAGTTTTGACTCAAAAAGGATCCAAATCTGCCCCACCCTGGAAATGCATCATTAAGGGGGAATTTTCAGTGTTTAAAAATGGTTTACAATAAGATCACGTTGAATTTTGTTCTTTTTTCCTTTTATGAAGATAAATGCAATCTGTAAAATATTGTCTCAAAAAAGAAAAGACAAATGCAGTCTGTTTGACACTGATTCTTCATCAGGCAATGCTGTAGGTGCCCCCCAATACACACACCTTTGATCACAGGCTGGGGCTCTCCTCTGAGACAGATGCTCAAGCATATTTCTTGCATAAGGTGGAATCAGTGTGGGTGAACCTGACAACTGCCTATCAGGAGCCCTTGGAAATGTCCATGAGAGACAAGGGTGAAGACTTGGGAAACAATCCAAAGAAATTCCTTTTGATGGCCCACATTATGAGTTGACACTGATATAGCGATCTGTGAGGCACCAAAGTAAACCTGCCCTAAGGAGCCTGGATCCAACCAAGGGGCAGGTCAGATTCAAAATAAACCTCTGCCATCTCCAAAGCCCTCTGAGCTTCTGTCTTCAGTCATGCTTCATTATGGAACTGCTTCTTTCCTCCGTGGTTTTTCCCCATTTCCTGCTTTTCTCCTTCTTCTTTAGCCACCACTTAGCTCCCTATGGGTTGAATAATAATTTAGTATGAGTTCAATTTTTTCGGCATGTTTTGCAATAGTAGTTTGTTGCCTTTATTCTTTACGGCTAGAGGGGTGGTGGCCTGGTATGACTGCCCCAATTTTAAAGGCAGGACAAAAAGGGATAATGGACCTGGTGAATTGCCAGAGATGAAAGGAATGCGATTAACACCCATTACTTTTTACCCCGGCAGCTGAAATAAACATAAGAGCTGGATTGTAATAATTATTTGGGAAAGAATTGGAAAACATCATTTTTTGTGATACTCTTATAATGAATGTGGTTACAGAAAAGATAGCTATTGCTAGTTTTTAATGCAGTGGAAGTTATGAACATATTTCTGATTCCTTTAACACATGCCATTTTCTCATGCACAAAACGGAGCTAATACAATAATTGGTATCTACCTTATAGGGTCATTGTAAAGGATTAAATGATTTAAAGCGTGTCTAGCACTTAGAACAGTGTATGGCATCTAACAAGCACTCAGTAAATTTATGATTGTTATTATTATTATATCACCACCAATTTGTTTTAGGATGACAACCTCAGTATTCAAATATTCCAAAAATGTATACCCCACAGTGCCTAAATGAAAAAGAATCATACTGGTTTTCCTGAAAACCTTATTATAATGATAAAAGAAGGGGTGGAGATTGAGAGAATGAGCAGCTCGCTACTCTCCCAGAACATTTGGGAAATGAAACCCTTTATTTGAAATTATTTGTATGAAGGCTGGAGCCCCCACCCCCAGGAAATGGAGCCTAAACGTTGCAGATGCTTGACACAGTAATTTCTCAGTCACCAGGAAGCCAAGAGTCTACTGTGATCCAGCCCTGATGTGATGCCCACATGTGTCTCTGACTGGTAAGGCAACCACAGCCGCTTGCATACCTGTGTCGCCTCTCCGAGATAAGGCTCTTATGTCATCTCATCCCTTCTGTGCTCTTAGTCAAAGATTGCTCTGCTCTGCTTTTCGCCTCTCTTGCTCTTTCTGTCTTCTCAGTCCTTTTCCCAGTGTCCCCTGGAACTCCAGTACTCTCTTCCATAGCAAGCAACCTGTCTACTTCCACCAGTCCATCACCTAGTTATCATTCAAATTTAGATCGCCGCTGAGGCTCTAGTTCCTAAGACTCCCTTTGGCAAGTCATGTTTATTTCCCTGAGTTTCACACAGATTATAATCATCATCCACCCATTTTGGCTCCTCCATCTTTTGTTCTTCCACACTTATGTGAAAATCTTTTCACTTTGAGGCAGATGAGTACATGCACTTTTCCTTATCCATTGATCAAGTACAACTAAAACCCCTAGATATATAAAACAAACCTAAGAATACTATGAAAGGTGGAGAGAAGGAGGCAGACAAGCTAGGGACCTCAGGACCTGAGGAATAAAATGGTAATAATTCCCTTACATTTCATTTTGCCTCATCTATCCCAGACTTGGACCTAAAGAGGGTCCCAGGGTGTATGGAAACAACAATAGACAAAGCAAAAAGGCCAAACAAAAGCCTGCTTTCTCCACCCAAAGTACTAGCAAAATGGCTGATATGACAGAACCTTTAGAAAATAACCACTCCCCTCCAATCAAACGCCACAGAAAGAACTGTGGCCTCAGCCCTCAGCAGCACCAGAAAAGGCCAAGTGAGGAGTCCAGACTTCTGCTGTGCATAGCTGCAGCAGTGTCCCCCTCAGCAGCGTGATGGCAGAGGAGGAAGTCAAGACTTTCATCCCTGATGGGTGGCAGCTAGCATACTCCCCTGTGGGAGTCCTGGATTCCCACACTCCCCTGACAGTAAGGAGCCACCCACCATTCTGCATCCACTGGGGTGGTGAATTTCTCACCAGAAATCATAGAGGCCAGAAGGGAGCAGCACAACATTTTTCAAGTATTGAAGGAAAAGAACTGTCAACCTCAAATTCTACATCTAGTAAACATATCCATGAGAAACGAAGAAGGAATCAAAACACTCTCTAGTGAAGAAAAGTAAGAGAAGGAATAGTGGAGAATTAGTACTTTCACCAGCACCCAGTGGTACTGAGGCCTCCATATGGAGTTGGAACTCCCCTCAGATGATGATACAGGCCTATTGGGGAACCTGGAGTTCTATGCTTTCCTGCGAGGGACTGGTGAAACTCCTGCTTACCCTATCAGAGCTGCATCAGAGAAAGCCAGCTAAAGCTTAAATAAGATCCAGAGTATCATGGAATAACCATCCAGGTTTCAATTTAAAAATCACTTATCATACAGGAAAAGATCAACTTGAGTGAAAAAGAAAATTAATAGATGTCAACACTGAGATGGCAGAGATGTTAAGACTACATGGCATAAAGTTAAAAGCAGCCATCACAAAAAAGCCTCGGTAACATTTACAAAAGTAATACACACAAATGAAGTAGAAAGTTTCTGCAAAGAAAGAGAAGATGTAAAGAAGAAACAGAGCTGAAAATACAAAAACCAGAATAAACTCAGTGGATGGGCTTAATAACAGAATTGAGAGGACAGAGAACAAGTAGACTTGAAGAAGAAAAACAATAAAAATTACCCAGTGTGAACAACAGAGAAAAAAAAGATGGAAAAAATGATTAGAACTACAACAAAGGCTCTAAGTCATGAAAGTCTGAGTCAGTGAAAGTCTTGGAAAGAAGGAGGTAGGTGGGGCTCCCAAAGTGCTCAAAGAAATACACTGAAAATTTTCCAAATTTGGTTAATATGATAATGTACAGCCCCCAGAAATTGAGCAAAGCTCAAAAAGATGAATTCACACCAAGTCACACAGTACTCAAACTTCTGAAAACTAACGTCAAAACAGTGAAAGTGAAATAACACATTATTGATAGAGGAAAAACAATTCAAAAGACAGTGAATTTCTCACCAGAAATCATAGAGGCCAGAAGGGAGCAGCACAACATTTTTCAAGTATTGAAGGAAAAGAACTGTCAACCTCAAATTCTACATCTAGTAAACATATCCATGAGAAACGAAGAAGGAATCAAAACAATCTCTAGTGAAGAAAAGTAAGAGAATCTGCCACTGGGAGACATACTCAGAAGGAAAGGTCAAAGGAAATTCTTTAAACAAAGGAAATGATATAAGAAAGAATCTTAGACTATCTAGAAGAACCCCAAAAAACTGTAAAAATGGGTAAGTACCTTTTCTTTCCCTGTAATCTTCTAAACTGTTTGCTCTTTGAAGCGAAACTTATAACATTATGTAATCTGTTTGTACATGTGTTCAGAGAAAATATCTAAGACAATTGTGTTATAAACAAAAGAAGATAGAGTTTTTCTACTAACTTGAACTGATAAAATGTATAGTAAGCTATAATAAATTAAATATCTATAACATTATACCTACAGTAACCACTAAAAAAGCTGCACAGTGAGATACACTCAGAAAACTATAAATATACAAAAATTTAATTCCACAACATGTTCAACTAAGCCACAAAAAGGCAGGAAAAAAAACTAGGTGTGTTAAACAGAAAACAAATAGAAAATTAAATTATAAAATAGAAGGTATAAGCCTTGATATATCAATCATTGCATTAAGTGTAACAGGTCTGAAATACATTAATCAATAGGCAGAAATTGGCTTGGTGTAATTAAAAAACACAAATGTATGATGTCTACAAGAAACTAACTTCAAATATAATGATATAGATATGTTGAAAGTAAAAAGATACATAGTGGAAACATTAGTTATAAAAAGAAGTGGTTATATTAATATTAAATAAAGTAGACTTTGATGTGAAGAAAAGTATCAGACATTATTTTCCATAATTATAAAAGGGTTAACCACAAGCAAGCATAGCATACTTAAATGCATGTGCATCACATGACAGAACTGCAAAATATGTGAAGAAAATTATATGACACAGATAAATTCACAATAATGTTTAGAAACTACACAATCCCTCTCTTAATAATTGGTATACTATCTTCTAAACAGAAAATTGAGTAAAAGTATAGAATAATCATCCAACAGCTCTACCAACCAGCGAGACTTAATATTGCACCCAACAATAGATGCATATCTATTCCTTTTAAGTCCCTGCTGATTATGTACCAAGATAGACAATATCCTGCCCATAAAACAAACCTCGACTCATTCAAAATAACTGAAATAATACACAATATATTCTCCAACCCCAATGGCTTCAAACTAGAAATCAATAACTGTAAGATAGTAGGAAAATCTCTAAACAGTTGGAAGTTACATTCCACACTTATAAATAAAATGTGTCAAAGAGGAGTTCTAAGGAAAATAAAACCAAAACATTCAATTGGATAAAAATGAAAATATACATATCAAAATAGGTATGTGACACCCAGCAACAGCTGGGAGGAAAATTTTTAGCACAAAGTGTCTAAATTAGAAAAGAAGGAAAGTCTCAAGTCAATAATATAAGCACCCATCTGAAAAATTTAGGCCAGCAAAAATATACCCAAAGCAAGCAGGACAGAAATAATAAGAGCAAAAAATCAATGATATTGACAACAGAAAAACAATAGAGAAGATCAATGAAACAAGCTTGTTTTGTGAAAAAAAAATCAATAAAATTGACAAACTTGCAGCAAGACTGACAAATAAAAAAAGAAGAGCAGATACAATTGTCAACATCAGGAATTAAATAGGGGTTATCGTAACAAACCTTCAGACAACAAAAGCAAAATAAGGAAATACTATGAAAACTCTACACATATAAATTTGACAATTTAGATGAAATGTAATAAGTCCTCAAAAAGTGCAAACTACTATGACTCACCCAATAAGAAATAGACAATTTGAATAGTCCTTTGACTATTTTTTTATTTGTAAAGATAAAGAACAAAAACACATTAACAAACAAACAGACATAAACAAAACAACACCCAGACAATAGAAGCAATACAGAGTTTCAGACAAGGTGATAGAAAATTGATAACATATGTTGTATTACATATTGTTATCTTTAAGAAACTGAATTTTTAATTTTAAAACTCCTCTAAAAGAAAGTGGCAAGCCCAGGTGGTTTCACTGGAAAATCCTACCAAATGTTTAAAGAATCAACCTTAATTCTACAAAATCTCTTACAAAAGATAGAAGAGGATGGAACACTTGTATCTCATTTTATTAAACTAATATTATTCTGACACCAATCCAGATGAAGACAGTACTAAAAAGGAAATGATTTCTCACA